GCAGAGAATCACCATTTCTCTAATTATCATACAGGAGCCTCAGTGACTAAAACAGACCAAATTTTTTTTTTTTTTTTAAGATTTTATTTATTTGACAGAAAGAGCACAAGTAGGCAGAGAGGCAGGCAGAGAGGAAGGGAAGCAGGCTCCCCGCTGAGCAGATAGCCCAATGTGGGGCTCAATCCCAGGATTCCTGAGATCATGACCTGAACCGAAGGTAGAGGCTTTAACCCACTGAGCCACCCAGGCGCCCACCAAAGCAAATTTTATTGAAAGGTTTTGTACTTGAAATTCATAATATTTATTTATTAGAACAAAGAGAACAATGAAGCTATTTTCATGAGCTCCCAGATTTTATTTTTTAGAGATTTTATTTATTCATTTGATAGGCAGAGATCTCAAGTAGACAGGAGGAAGCAGGCTCCCCGCTGAGCAGAGAGCCTGATGCGGGGCTCAATCCCAGGATCCTGAGATCATGACCTGAACCGAAGGTAGAGGCTTTAACCCACTGAGCCACCCAGGCGCCCCGAGCCCCCAGATTTTAAATTGCAGCTTCTTACAAAGTTGCAGCATGAAATTTATGACTGTATAATACCAAGAAAGTCTGGTTTGAACGTAGGTGGTTACAGATGCTTAAGTCATTTTGCTGTATCCGAATATTTTTTTTTTTTTTTAAGATTTTATTTATTTGACAGAGAGAGAAATCACAAATAGGCAGAGAGGCAGGCAGAGAGAGGGGGAAGCAGGCTCTCCGACGTGGGAGAGCCCGATGCGGGACTCGATCCCAGGACCCCGAGATCATGACCTGAGCTGAAGGCAGTGGCTTAACCCACTGAGCCACCCAGGCGCCCCCGAATATTTTTTTAAATGATCCAAAACTAGAAAGAAGACTGGTACAGCTTTGATTTTAAGCTGAATCACTGGAGCACCTCATTGGTTCAGTCCATTAAACATGCTTTTGGCCCTTGCATTGGGCTCCCAGCTCAGCAGGGAACCTACTTTTCCCTCTCCCTCCTCCTAGGCAACCCCCCCCGGGGGGGGGGGCGCTGGTGCTCTTGCAATAATTAATTAATTAACAAATCTATTTATCTAATCTTTTGTTTTTTAAAGGTAATCACTGAGTGCCTGACAACCACTTGCATTACTTCTCATAGACCAGTCATGTGAGACACCCAAACTTTAATTCTGTGCTGAGCATGAGACCAGAGCCAGTGCCCAGCCCCTCCCACAACTATAGTAGTGACACAGGGTTCTGAGGTGACCAGGGATGCTCTTCAGCCAGGCCAGCATCATCTCCAACAGCCAGGCGAGCCACTGAGTTCCAGCATACATAAATTTGGGATGACACTCTTGAGTTTGTGTGTGGCATTTTATTTATTTTTAAAGGAAAACGTGGGGGTGCCTTGGTGGTACAGTCAGTTAAGCGTCTGACTTGGTTTCAGGTCAGGTCCTGATCTGAAGGTCATGAGACAAGCCCCACATTGGGCACCATGCTCCGAATCTGCTTAAGATTCTCTTTCTCTGTCTCTACCCCAGCCTCCCACCACCTGCACTCACAGGCATGGTGCTCTCTCCGGTAGGAGGGGGCGGGGAGAAAAGGTTATAAAAACAAATTCGCATTGGGCCCTGCAGCACTGGAAGACACTTATAAAACACTGGTTTGTAGAAGGTTGCTCGTATTAAATCATCATTCTTTACCTCTATCCCTTTCAGGTTCGATTTGCCGCTCTGATTACCGTGTTAGCGCTGGCTGAGAAACTAAAGGAGAATTATATTGTCTTGCTACCAGAGTCCATTCCTTTCTTAGCTGAATTGATGGAAGGTAATTCCTAAACTACTAAGAAATAGGAGTAAAATTCTGTGAAAATGTACTGAGTGATAATGGGAATGTGGATAGAATGGGGTGAGCCCTTGGCTCCAATCTTATTCCTACACCGCATCTCCCGCTGCAGACGCGGGAGGTGGAGTTCCTGTTTTGAGTAGGGTGGGAGCACGTTAGGGGACCACTAGGTGTTCATGAGAAACTTCGTTTACACTGTAATCACTACCTGTACTTTGGTGTTATGATGGTAAGATCGTCCTATGTGGTTTTTCATCAACCTTGGATGTTTATATCCTTGAGTATCCTGGTCCCCAGACATAGGGCTATTGTAGCAGAGTGTCTAGTGCCATTAAGATGGCAGTAGATGAGCTGCCTGTTAGTAATGACCATTTACTCCACGCTCTGCATGCAGGATCTCATTGAATCCTCACGATGGGCTATATGCCATTATCCCTGTTCTCATAAAGGAAGAAACTAGAGGCTTTATAAGAATCTAATAAAGTGGGACAGGTAGAAGTAGGGTTGGAATCCAGCTGTGCACACTTGTGGACATATGGCACTCATGCCATCATGCAGCCTGAGGGAGAAGCGTTCAGGTCTTACTCAGCAAGGCCGAAAGAGCCAAGCAGACAGATACTTTTTCATTTTAGTGGTTCGCTACTTTTCTAAAAGTACATTCACCTCGGTTTCTTATGTCCTGAATGAGGGGCATCACTAGGAATTTGGGTTTTTCATTAGTGTACCACTACCTTGAGGGCTCCACGTTACTCAGCTTCCAGGTCCAAAACCAAGAAGGGAACCAAGGCAAGAAGGGCATGCAGAGGGGTTCCACGATGCTCTCTGCTCCATTTCCCTCTGGTGACCAAACAGTGGCCACAGAATGCAACACCTGACGTATTAGACGAGTGGTTAAAGCAGAAGATTGGTTCAGTTTTTTTGTTTTTTAGATGAATGTGAAGAAGTAGAACATCAGTGCCAAAAGACTATTCAGCAACTGGAAGCTATACTGGGAGAGCCGCTCCAGAGCTACTTCTAAACCTTGGGCTTTTGGTGTTTCTTCTTTCTTCCTCTGTGCAGAGGTCAGATTTATTTTTCATATTTTTATTTTTGGGTGTTTGGTACCATATTACCTTTTGGTACCCTGACCCCTATGCGGACTCCTTTATAAAATTCCTGCCTAGTTTGTGCTCCTGTAGAGCCTCTCCCACCCCCTGTACAGAATGGCCGTGAGAGTAAATGGTACCCGGTGTTTGTACGCAGTCTGTGTTTGTTTAAACATTTGTTGGAGTCTCTTCTGATTGAAGTTATTGATACTACGGCTGTGTTTAAGTTGGGCACTCAGTACCTCATTTAGACAGTAAAACCTAACTCTTTCCAGAAAGGGAAGTCGTATGTACATGTGTGCAAGTCGTGATCTCACTTACGGTAGCTCTTCAAGGACATGCACTCGGCAGCGCTTCGGACTGGACTATTTGGAAAACTGTTCATTTTGGGTAGATGACACTTCAGCCCTAATTTTTGTGTGTGTGGCCAGAGGGAATTAGTTCTGGAATGCATTTCCCACTCAGGACTAGGATTGTCTTCTTTACCCTTCAGTCTTTGGGGTGCCACAGCAGTGGACTGTGGAGGCAGGGCCCAAAAACACTAGGTGGTGTGGCTCCTCCAGGATTAGAAGTGATCGCATTTCCACTGGTGGTGATCCAAGAATTACTTGTATGAGAAAGTATCATTTGTTTCAAAGTTTTGAAGTTTTCTAATCTCTGTCATGTGAAGCAAAGGCTTAAGAAAAATTAAACCTGCCTTTATTAAGGCATTTTATTTCGTTATGCATTTTTAAAAAAAATTTAAAGCGTCTAAGAACTTCCCATAGAATGTTTCGTTTGAAAGCCTTTGTTATAGAAATTTAGTGAGGAACTGAGACAGAGAAGCAAAAGGCTAAACTGTAGCTTCAGAGATCCGGCTTGGGAGGACTGGGCACTCCCAGCTAAGCAATGTCTTGGTAAGATTAATTTGTAAGTGCTAACAGTTTCTTCTTAAAATACTGATTTTTTTTTTTCCTGTCACAGAACTTGTCTTATGGCTTAATAATACCTTCATGTGTAACAAAAGAGCAAACATAAGTATGCTTAGGTATTAGAGAAAACAATATATGTGGGCTTTTTTCTCTGAGTGGCCTGTAGTCTGCATGTCTTAGTCATGCCCTCTGATGTTCTTTTTAAAGGGGAAAAAAAAAACAAAACCCTGGGGGATTCCTTCAACTTTCCCAAGTGAAAGTTTGACAAGAGGCAACATAATTAATTAACATGAATAGAAAAGAATTAAGTGTCAGAAACTTCTTCCCTGAGTATTTCTAAAAAAAAATCAGATTGCTAGTTTAGTCTTTTTGGTATATGGGTACAAATAATATCTAACCAAAACCTGTAGAAAATATTTCTAAATGCTGGCAGCATATTCAGCCCAGCAACTTAACGTGATAAAATGATCAAACTGATTCAGCTTTTTTACCTCCTTACTCCCAAGCCTTTGAAATTTCCTGTAACAAGATCTGACCTGTAAGAATTGTACAAAGAACTTCTGCCAACTCACTTCAAAGAATAATAGAAAAAAATTACAGAAATGCAATAATTTAACCTGCTGATACAAGTCTGATTTTAATCACTTACAGTGGAACAGTGTTTTGATCTGTCGCTAATGATGAGGGACTAACCTTTAGAGGAGCAGAAAGGCAGGGTTCGTTTGCATAGAGACAAGCAACAGAGTGTTACACCCCTCTCTGCCCCAATGGTCTCTCTGTATTTACCCTCTGATAGTGCCTATTTTATCAACAGTCATGATATCTAATCTTGACTTTGTTTTGCTCAAGTCCTGTCCCTTAAAATTTTCTGTTGGGGTATGTGCAGACCTCGGACTCATCCTGAATTCAGGTACACCAAGCATTTACTGACAGAGACATCATTGGCCTTGAGACTGACATCAAGTTAATTTTATAAATTTTTTTTTTTTTTTTTTAAGATTTTATTTATTTATTTGACAGACAGAGATCACAAGCAGGCAGAGAGGCAGGCAGAGAGAGAGGAGGAAGCAGGCTCCTTGCTGAGCAGAGAGCCCGACGCGGGGCTCGATCCCAGGACCCTGAGATCATGACCTGAGCCGAAGGCAGCGGCTTAACCCACTGAGCCACCCAGGCGCCCCAGGTTAATTTTAATACGACTGGTTTTGTTTTGCTGCATTTTTTGCCTTAGTCTTTGCGCTGTGTTCAGATTTTGTAGTGTTAAATTATTTGGCAATGCTTACAGCTAGTAAAGCTAGGTATTTATCATGCCAAAGGAAACTGCGAGATGGAAGGCAACATCAGTCCTTTCCATTATGGGATGTGATTGAACTTTAGGTATGAAAGGGATCGCTGGAAAAGTAGTATTTCATAAGTTAATGTAGGTGACTTCACGGCTGAGTAATTATCTCTGGTTACTTTGTGACTACTGCCTGTGGGAAAAGCAGTGGCATGATGTCAGAGCACAGAAGATTCTGAGCTTGAGAACAGGGAATATTGTGCTCCACTGTATACTTCTGTCCCCACAGCTACTTGCTGAATGTGAAGATTTTAAAAAGAAGAGGCCAGGGTGGGAGAGAGAATAGAAAGACCTGAATAATGACTGTACATTGCTGTTGCCTCAAATTTCCTTATTCTGTGATAGACAAAGCCACACTGTGTGGCAAGGAACACAGTGTGAGAACGCCTAGTAGGACTTCACGTTATACAAGCTCATCTTAATATATATATACAAATATAACAGATGCATTTTAACAGGGCCAGTGTTACATAAGTCATTTTGTATTTCAGTTTTTGTAGCAAGCATATCAGCTACCAGCTCCTTACTTCCAGTAAGTGAATATCTCCATCAATTTCCAGTGTGTCGATATCACTAAGCTCTTTAAATCTGTGTTTGTACTCCAGGCTGTGTACACCATTTACCGCAACCTTGAATTCTCTAGCATCACAATAAATTATCATCTGGAAGGAAAGTACACACAACATTAGTGGCTCCCCTTGGGTTTGCTTTATACAGATGTTCTCCCAGCCTGCTGCTGTTAAACTTCAGCATCTTAGAAGTTATCGGGTAGTAGCATCTTCTGCTTTTGTCCGACTCAGGGAACTGAGTATGCTTGGAGCTTCACACTGTCCCCAGGGCCTGAGGCCTTCCTTCCCTCAGCACATTACCTCTGCTGTCCCCTTTCCCCTGCCAGTGTTTGGGGACTGTAATGACGCAGGAAACTGCCACCATACTGGCACTCACAGAGAAGCCGATTCCAGTTTACAGTTGAAAACCAAGGACCTGGATTGGGACTTTTCTGCCTTAAACTCTAGGGTCTTAGACAAATCATATAATCAAAAACCAAGTTTTTGCACTCTATAGGATTGCACAGCTGCCTCGTGGCCCTGACTTCCCTCCCAGTTCAGCACCTCTTGGTCTCCATCTGTTTCCCAAAAGCTCAGGCTTCTGTGAATCCATGGAGGAATTCGCATTCTGAGAAAGATTCAGTTCCGATTCGTGACTAGAGAGTCTTTCAGAGATGTCTGCCTAAAACTCAAAAGAAACTCCAATCCCTTTAATTCACTTTTGCACCTAAAATTCCTACTTCTGATAAGACATTCCTGCTGCCAATCAGCCAACAATTCTGCCATTTGTTCTCCACTCCCACTAAAAGGACCTGTGTGGTGAACCTGCACTATGTTCTCCCGACTGCGTCTTCCCTCTGTCAGGCTTCAGCAGAGCGGAAAGGAGCAGCCCTCCTGCAAACCCAGCTCCATCCCCAGGGGCCAGGTTGAGGCAAAACCTAAATCTGCAAAGAAGCAAAGAGTGTATTTATTCTTTTGCTCTGACTAGTGCAAAGGTACCTTTGACAAAATCTCAACACAAAATACAGCCTCGTGCCCGGAATGGGCAGTAGAGGGGCGCAGTGGGAAGAGTCCATCAGTCACCACATCGTACCAGAGCAGGTGGCGCACCGCTGCCTTACCGACGGGCGGGACAAGTCTGTGGCCCGGGGTACACACTGCCGCTACACAAGTACACAACATGCAAAAGACAGACCCACAACCTCCAAGAAAATATGGAACAACAAAATCCCTCGCAACCATTGGATGTTCTAGAACAGCTCACACCAACGTGATTTGATGATTTAAAAAAAAATTTACAGAACTGAAATATTTTTTTAAAGACTGTAGTAGTTAGAGTGAATAAATGAATTTTAAACAATGAGGAACAGAAGATACTGGTTAAAATCAAACTAACGGAATCATTTAGAATCTTAAAAAAGGCAGGCATTTGAAGCAGAGAAAAACTGATCACGATAGAAAATTAACAGTGGTCTAAGAGGAGGGTAATTACTGCTACTGAGATACAGAACAAAAGGAAAAAATGATTATTTAAAAGAATTCTTGTCCTTTTTCATTTTATTACAGAACCAAACTTGGGGTCAGTTCAAAGAACAAGTTATGTCACTGGTTTCCTGTCACCAACCCCAGGGGTCCACTTCATTCTGCAGCTGCCACCTCTGTGTCCTTCCAGTGAGCCCCCCATTACCTTTTATACCTGGCCTCCTGCCAAGCCAAGAAAACCCCTATGCTACACTCTCCCCTCCCCATCTTGTTCAAATCATCCCCTCAATGTGGAAAAGCCACCTTTCACTTCACCTTCCTCCATCCTTCTGAATTTCAAACCCATATCCACACCTTCCAGGGACCCTCCTACAACTACTTCACATTGGTCACAGCATGTACCGGGAACTTATGAATACACATGAATGTCTGACTGCCGTCTTCTATTCAGCCTTGACGTTCCTGCTGTTAACAACTACTTTTGATGAGTCCTTAAGAACTCCGTGTAATGGTCCAGAGCATGTGACCGTTTGTAGGATGTAGAAGCATGTCCTAAATCAGGGACCCTGAATGACCATGTAAGGCAGTGCTTCACCTAAGCTGGTGAGCGGACCTAGCCAGCCACCCAGCATCCACGTCTCATCCGCTCAGCATCCAGAAGCATTTTGGGAAAGGCTGTTTGACCATAATATTCACACACTTGGGGGACTCAGGACTGTATGTCTTTAAGTTCTAAGGGTCTAAACCTCTTTTTCCTTGAATATACATGAACAGGACTAACCTGGAAGAAAGGACTGCCACCTAAAGCTACATAGAACCAAGATGGCAGGTGACAGAGCAGACAATTTCATGGCTCCTGTGTCCTCTGGTTCACTTAGCATTAGCCTAAATCTGTCTTGAGGCACAAGGTTCCTGTTAAAATTCCTACAAACTAATACAGCACCACACAGTAATAATTCCAATGCAAATAGTGTGCTATTCTACTTGCTATGCCATTTATGCCAACCAAAATACTGACTGTATTTTGAATGCCTTTTATATGCACAGTCTCCAAATAAAAGCCAAATGCAATCTCCACAGGGACTTGATTTTAAAAGACCATTTATCCTGTCCCTCCTCCCAGGATTCTTTGCCCTGTCCCATAACGTAATCTTACCTCAAAGTACATCCCAGGACTAAATGGGAAACAGGTAATATTTCTCTCTTCTTCTCCCCAGGCCTCGTGAAGAAAAGAGTTTCTTACAAACGCTTTAATATTGAGGCGTGGGTTCAAGTGAAGAGCAATATCCTTTGATTTTCCCGATACGAGGTTAACATTAAAGCTTTTGAGAGAATAAAGAAAATTAACCGGTAGTCAGCAGTGCTCTTCCTACAATTTTAACAAGCAGAACTGAGCTCTCTTCACAACTACACAAAACGTGTGCACACACAGACCTAGGAATGCGGATGAAGGTAGTTTTAAATTCGGAGTTAGCATTCCACTGATGGAAATATGCTCTTTGCAAAATAAAAACCTAAAAAACTTGAACATTAGAGTTGAAGCCACAGATCTGGGTGGGAAGCAACCGAAGGGTTAGAGCAAGTAACCAAAATGCTTGCTTCGGGCTGCCGCCCTCTCAAGTACTATTCTCGGTCATCGTTTACAGCTGTTCTGTTCTTCAGTTTATTGCTTTCTAGGCAATAGGGGATTTCAGTCTTTTGAATGTCTCTAGAAAAGGTTCTTCAGAAATTCCACCAAGTCACATGACATAAGGGGCCCTAACAAGTCAGGGGACCTCCGGGCTGCCCTCAAGTCTTCAAGGCACGGGTGGGCTTCCCGGACAGAAATGCCACCCTCCTGTGTGGCCACAAAAAGCCTAGCTCAAAACACTGGCCTTCAGCCCCTGATTCTGCCACCAGCTCGTTAGCAGTCTTGCTGGCAGCCTGACCTCCCGCTACTTCGACAGCCTCCCCTTTCTGGTGAGGATCAGGACACTAGGCCCGCGCCCGTCCCCCAAGACTGTTAGGGGAAGAAGGCAGGAGGAGACGTGCGTGGAAAGTGTTCGCACTCGTCCTGGTAACTGGTACTGACCCTTTGGCAGCTTTATTCACTTCTCCTTTAATGAAGACGGTTCGTCCAGGGCCCATTGAAGAGTTCAGCCTCGCAGTGAACGGCAGAGTCTGAAGAGAAACCACAGTGAGCACTAGAAGGCCTGCAGAGAGCGACCTCATGGGAGAAAACTGTCCGAAGATACGGGGCCATGGTTAAAGGACTTGCCCCCGTAAGCCCCAGCGGTCAGCACCGCCTGGCTCACAGCCAACACTCAAGGAAAGCGTCTCAGAGGAGGAAATGAATAAATGTGAAGTGGGGTTTGAAATCCCTCGTGTGAGTCACACACACTGAGAAAGTCGCCTACACTCGGGGCCTGCAGCCGTGCTCCACGTTCTGCCTGAGGGAAGCGGCCCAGGTGGGAGCATTACAGAAACACTCAGCCCAGAGACTCGATGCCCAGCTGATCTCCTCTGTCCGGGGTCCGCACAGAAAGGCAGAGTGGCTGCTCTGGGCTTCTACTGAGGGCAGAAGTTATACATTACCAGCTAATTCAAGCTTAATCGGTTATACAAAATTAAGAAAATTTTTGGTTCTTCAAACCTTTGACAAACAGCTGGTAGGTAGTATTTTGGCGCAAGTCAAAGTGTGATGGGCAGTCGAACCTTTGCTCTTGGTGTAGACAGTTCTGGGTACGATTTTAGAAATGTCTCCTCTATTACTAGGCTGTTGGGGAAAGAGTTCTGCAGTAAGGTGGGGAAGGAATGAAGCTGTCTTCTAAGGTTTAAACTATTCATGTCCTGGGCGATTTTACAAAATGTTCCCTGTTATAACCTGGGCAGAAATACTTACAAAATGTGGCATGTCGGACTTCAGTACCTATTGGAAAAGAAAGTCAAAGTGAAGACATTTGAAAGGGAAAAATGCATTTTCTAACATGATCAGTCAGAGCCTATTGCTTATAACAGGCAGAGCCGGCGCTTCCTGACGGTGTGCCGTGGAGCTGTGAGCGACAGGCTGCTCAGGCTGGGGGTACAGCCTCATGGCCCTGGTCATCGGAAGCCTGTATCCTCTGGCATAAATAACTTTTTTGTAGGACTACACGTGAAATTCAGACATATTTTACTTGTTCTTTCCAAGGTGCTCCCAAGATGCTGAGCTACTATATTCCATCTATTAGGTCACAGGTTCCGAGACCACTAAGGCATCACTTTGTCCATTAATAACAAAGACTGTACTTGTTCCTACCAGCGAGAAGATACATGTGGGAGTTCATGTGTCAATGCACTGTGTTCAGTATTTATAAATACTGTGACAGTTCTCTTCAACAGGTAAAAGTGAGAGGGGTTTTTTTTGTTTTATGTAAGAATGGCAGCTAGTGGGCAGATGCACTGAGCTCAAGCATCTGCACAACTAACAGGGCCTGGGACAGAAGGAAATGCCTTAATTTTCAAATGCTTACTTCAAGCCTATTAATATTAAAAATAATTTTTCACATTAAAAACATAATTTTTAAAAACTCAGCCTACCACCTGATTCACATGGCAACTAAAAGAACATTTTCAAACTGGTAGTTCATTAAAAGATGTAATATTTACATTTTCTTTACTTATCTCTGTCAGTTCCAGAGTAGATGCTTGGGTACTTCTGAAATCCTGAAGATAAGATTAATTTTTAACATCCATCAGAATTCTAAATACAACCCTCCCTGACATATCAAAAACAATTATAAATAGTACTAAACATGAAAATATGCTTGAAAATTACAATCCAAAAATGTACTTAACGTAAGGGTCCTCCCCCCACCCCCCCAATCAGACTGGCAAGTATTACAGAGACTAAGAATGAGCATCAAGAAGAATGTGAGCGAGCGGGCACGGCAGCCGAGACGGTAACGTTCCTGGAAAGCTTTCTGGAAGGTGAGCTTGCCAGCCCTCCAGCTGCTATCAGTTGTAACTTAAAATGCAAATACCTTTGACTCAGACTTTCTACTTCTAGGAACTGATCTTTGACAAATCCTCCATTGTATTCCTGTGTCAAGGAATTTGCCCCTGTTAAAAAGGGTTTTTGTTTTGTTTTGTAGTCACTGTTTTGGGTTTTGTTGTTGTCAGAGCCATACAAGATTTGAGATCCTATAGACACTGAAGCCCTGGCCCGGACATAGCAAACTACCAGTCTGAAAGATTCACTTCCAAGAAATTAATACACTAATGACGGAAACATTTACAGAATTTTTACCTTAACAGAAGACACTAAAGATATTTCCTACCGTGTCATCAGAAGACATCAGCGAAGAAGAGCCCAGCGGTGGAAGGGTACTCACCGAGCTGAAGCTATAACCAACTGAGTGGACATTCACTTTGCCATAAATGCCCAGAGTGTCTACTTTCCCTGGGCTAATCCTGTGGGCATAGAGCAGTATATGTTTCCCATTTACAGCCACCTACATGGACAGAGAAGACAGCCCAGCATCCCCGAAAAAAAAAAAAAAAAAAAAAAAAAAAAAAAAACCTGAGATCATGACCTGAACCGAAGGTAGAGGCTTTAACCCACTGAGCCACCCAGGCGCCCACCAAAGCAAATTTTATTGAAAGGTTTTGTACTTGAAATTCATAATATTTATTTATTAGAACAAAGAGAACAATGAAGCTATTTTCATGAGCTCCCAGATTTTATTTTTTAGAGATTTTATTTATTCATTTGATAGGCAGAGATCTCAAGTAGACAGGAGGAAGCAGGCTCCCCGCTGAGCAGAGAGCCTGATGCGGGGCTCAATCCCAGGATCCTGAGATCATGACCTGAACCGAAGGTAGAGGCTTTAACCCACTGAGCCACCCAGGCGCCCCGAGCCCCCAGATTTTAAATTGCAGCTTCTTACAAAGTTGCAGCATGAAATTTATGACTGTATAATACCAAGAAAGTCTGGTTTGAACGTAGGTGGTTACAGATGCTTAAGTCATTTTGCTGTATCCGAATATTTTTTTTTTTTTTTAAGATTTTATTTATTTGACAGAGAGAGAAATCACAAATAGGCAGAGAGGCAGGCAGAGAGAGGGGGAAGCAGGCTCTCCGACGTGGGAGAGCCCGATGCGGGACTCGATCCCAGGACCCCGAGATCATGACCTGAGCTGAAGGCAGTGGCTTAACCCACTGAGCCACCCAGGCGCCCCCGAATATTTTTTTAAATGATCCAAAACTAGAAAGAAGACTGGTACAGCTTTGATTTTAAGCTGAATCACTGGAGCACCTCATTGGTTCAGTCCATTAAACATGCTTTTGGCCCTTGCATTGGGCTCCCAGCTCAGCAGGGAACCTACTTTTCCCTCTCCCTCCTCCTAGGCAACCCCCCCCGGGGGGGGGGGCGCTGGTGCTCTTGCAATAATTAATTAATTAACAAATCTATTTATCTAATCTTTTGTTTTTTAAAGGTAATCACTGAGTGCCTGACAACCACTTGCATTACTTCTCATAGACCAGTCATGTGAGACACCCAAACTTTAATTCTGTGCTGAGCATGAGACCAGAGCCAGTGCCCAGCCCCTCCCACAACTATAGTAGTGACACAGGGTTCTGAGGTGACCAGGGATGCTCTTCAGCCAGGCCAGCATCATCTCCAACAGCCAGGCGAGCCACTGAGTTCCAGCATACATAAATTTGGGATGACACTCTTGAGTTTGTGTGTGGCATTTTATTTATTTTTAAAGGAAAACGTGGGGGTGCCTTGGTGGTACAGTCAGTTAAGCGTCTGACTTGGTTTCAGGTCAGGTCCTGATCTGAAGGTCATGAGACAAGCCCCACATTGGGCACCATGCTCCGAATCTGCTTAAGATTCTCTTTCTCTGTCTCTACCCCAGCCTCCCACCACCTGCACTCACAGGCATGGTGCTCTCTCCGGTAGGAGGGGGCGGGGAGAAAAGGTTATAAAAACAAATTCGCATTGGGCCCTGCAGCACTGGAAGACACTTATAAAACACTGGTTTGTAGAAGGTTGCTCGTATTAAATCATCATTCTTTACCTCTATCCCTTTCAGGTTCGATTTGCCGCTCTGATTACCGTGTTAGCGCTGGCTGAGAAACTAAAGGAGAATTATATTGTCTTGCTACCAGAGTCCATTCCTTTCTTAGCTGAATTGATGGAAGGTAATTCCTAAACTACTAAGAAATAGGAGTAAAATTCTGTGAAAATGTACTGAGTGATAATGGGAATGTGGATAGAATGGGGTGAGCCCTTGGCTCCAATCTTATTCCTACACCGCATCTCCCGCTGCAGACGCGGGAGGTGGAGTTCCTGTTTTGAGTAGGGTGGGAGCACGTTAGGGGACCACTAGGTGTTCATGAGAAACTTCGTTTACACTGTAATCACTACCTGTACTTTGGTGTTATGATGGTAAGATCGTCCTATGTGGTTTTTCATCAACCTTGGATGTTTATATCCTTGAGTATCCTGGTCCCCAGACATAGGGCTATTGTAGCAGAGTGTCTAGTGCCATTAAGATGGCAGTAGATGAGCTGCCTGTTAGTAATGACCATTTACTCCACGCTCTGCATGCAGGATCTCATTGAATCCTCACGATGGGCTATATGCCATTATCCCTGTTCTCATAAAGGAAGAAACTAGAGGCTTTATAAGAATCTAATAAAGTGGGACAGGTAGAAGTAGGGTTGGAATCCAGCTGTGCACACTTGTGGACATATGGCACTCATGCCATCATGCAGCCTGAGGGAGAAGCGTTCAGGTCTTACTCAGCAAGGCCGAAAGAGCCAAGCAGACAGATACTTTTTCATTTTAGTGGTTCGCTACTTTTCTAAAAGTACATTCACCTCGGTTTCTTATGTCCTGAATGAGGGGCATCACTAGGAATTTGGGTTTTTCATTAGTGTACCACTACCTTGAGGGCTCCACGTTACTCAGCTTCCAGGTCCAAAACCAAGAAGGGAACCAAGGCAAGAAGGGCATGCAGAGGGGTTCCACGATGCTCTCTGCTCCATTTCCCTCTGGTGACCAAACAGTGGCCACAGAATGCAACACCTGACGTATTAGACGAGTGGTTAAAGCAGAAGATTGGTTCAGTTTTTTTGTTTTTTAGATGAATGTGAAGAAGTAGAACATCAGTGCCAAAAGACTATTCAGCAACTGGAAGCTATACTGGGAGAGCCGCTCCAGAGCTACTTCTAAACCTTGGGCTTTTGGTGTTTCTTCTTTCTTCCTCTGTGCAGAGGTCAGATTTATTTTTCATATTTTTATTTTTGGGTGTTTGGTACCATATTACCTTTTGGTACCCTGACCCCTATGCGGACTCCTTTATAAAATTCCTGCCTAGTTTGTGCTCCTGTAGAGCCTCTCCCACCCCCTGTACAGAATGGCCGTGAGAGTAAATGGTACCCGGTGTTTGTACGCAGTCTGTGTTTGTTTAAACATTTGTTGGAGTCTCTTCTGATTGAAGTTATTGATACTACGGCTGTGTTTAAGTTGGGCACTCAGTACCTCATTTAGACAGTAAAACCTAACTCTTTCCAGAAAGGGAAGTCGTATGTACATGTGTGCAAGTCGTGATCTCACTTACGGTAGCTCTTCAAGGACATGCACTCGGCAGCGCTTCGGACTGGACTATTTGGAAAACTGTTCATTTTGGGTAGATGACACTTCAGCCCTAATTTTTGTGTGTGTGGCCAGAGGGAATTAGTTCTGGAATGCATTTCCCACTCAGGACTAGGATTGTCTTCTTTACCCTTCAGTCTTTGGGGTGCCACAGCAGTGGACTGTGGAGGCAGGGCCCAAAAACACTAGGTGGTGTGGCTCCTCCAGGATTAGAAGTGATCGCATTTCCACTGGTGGTGATCCAAGAATTACTTGTATGAGAAAGTATCATTTGTTTCAAAGTTTTGAAGTTTTCTAATCTCTGTCATGTGAAGCAAAGGCTTAAGAAAAATTAAACCTGCCTTTATTAAGGCATTTTATTTCGTTATGCATTTTTAAAAAAAATTTAAAGCGTCTAAGAACTTCCCATAGAATGTTTCGTTTGAAAGCCTTTGTTATAGAAATTTAGTGAGGAACTGAGACAGAGAAGCAAAAGGCTAAACTGTAGCTTCAGAGATCCGGCTTGGGAGGACTGGGCACTCCCAGCTAAGCAATGTCTTGGTAAGATTAATTTGTAAGTGCTAACAGTTTCTTCTTAAAATACTGATTTTTTTTTTTCCTGTCACAGAACTTGTCTTATGGCTTAATAATACCTTCATGTGTAACAAAAGAGCAAACATAAGTATGCTTAGGTATTAGAGAAAACAATATATGTGGGCTTTTTTCTCTGAGTGGCCTGTAGTCTGCATGTCTTAGTCATGCCCTCTGATGTTCTTTTTAAAGGGGAAAAAAAAAACAAAACCCTGGGGGATTCCTTCAACTTTCCCAAGTGAAAGTTTGACAAGAGGCAACATAATTAATTAACATGAATAGAAAAGAATTAAGTGTCAGAAACTTCTTCCCTGAGTATTTCTAAAAAAAAATCAGATTGCTAGTTTAGTCTTTTTGGTATATGGGTACAAATAATATCTAACCAAAACCTGTAGAAAATATTTCTAAATGCTGGCAGCATATTCAGCCCAGCAACTTAACGTGATAAAATGATCAAACTGATTCAGCTTTTTTACCTCCTTACTCCCAAGCCTTTGAAATTTCCTGTAACAAGATCTGACCTGTAAGAATTGTACAAAGAACTTCTGCCAACTCACTTCAAAGAATAATAGAAAAAAATTACAGAAATGCAATAATTTAACCTGCTGATACAAGTCTGATTTTAATCACTTACAGTGGAACAGTGTTTTGATCTGTCGCTAATGATGAGGGACTAACCTTTAGAGGAGCAGAAAGGCAGGGTTCGTTTGCATAGAGACAAGCAACAGAGTGTTACACCCCTCTCTGCCCCAATGGTCTCTCTGTATTTACCCTCTGATAGTGCCTATTTTATCAACAGTCATGATATCTAATCTTGACTTTGTTTTGCTCAAGTCCTGTCCCTTAAAATTTTCTGTTGGGGTATGTGCAGACCTCGGACTCATCCTGAATTCAGGTACACCAAGCATTTACTGACAGAGACATCATTGGCCTTGAGACTGACATCAAGTTAATTTTATAAATTTTTTTTTTTTTTTTTTAAGATTTTATTTATTTATTTGACAGACAGAGATCACAAGCAGGCAGAGAGGCAGGCAGAGAGAGAGGAGGAAGCAGGCTCCTTGCTGAGCAGAGAGCCCGACGCGGGGCTCGATCCCAGGACCCTGAGATCATGACCTGAGCCGAAGGCAGCGGCTTAACCCACTGAGCCACCCAGGCGCCCCAGGTTAATTTTAATACGACTGGTTTTGTTTTGCTGCATTTTTTGCCTTAGTCTTTGCGCTGTGTTCAGATTTTGTAGTGTTAAATTATTTGGCAATGCTTACAGCTAGTAAAGCTAGGTATTTATCATGCCAAAGGAAACTGCGAGATGGAAGGCAACATCAGTCCTTTCCATTATGGGATGTGATTGAACTTTAGGTATGAAAGGGATCGCTGGAAAAGTAGTATTTCATAAGTTAATGTAGGTGACTTCACGGCTGAGTAATTATCTCTGGTTACTTTGTGACTACTGCCTGTGGGAAAAGCAGTGGCATGATGTCAGAGCACAGAAGATTCTGAGCTTGAGAACAGGGAATATTGTGCTCCACTGTATACTTCTGTCCCCACAGCTACTTGCTGAATGTGAAGATTTTAAAAAGAAGAGGCCAGGGTGGGAGAGAGAATAGAAAGACCTGAATAATGACTGTACATTGCTGTTGCCTCAAATTTCCTTATTCTGTGATAGACAAAGCCACACTGTGTGGCAAGGAACACAGTGTGAGAACGCCTAGTAGGACTTCACGTTATACAAGCTCATCTTAATATATATATACAAATATAACAGATGCATTTTAACAGGGCCAGTGTTACATAAGTCATTTTGTATTTCAGTTTTTGTAGCAAGCATATCAGCTACCAGCTCCTTACTTCCAGTAAGTGAATATCTCCATCAATTTCCAGTGTGTCGATATCACTAAGCTCTTTAAATCTGTGTTTGTACTCCAGGCTGTGTACACCATTTACCGCAACCTTGAATTCTCTAGCATCACAATAAATTATCATCTGGAAGGAAAGTACACACAACATTAGTGGCTCCCCTTGGGTTTGCTTTATACAGATGTTCTCCCAGCCTGCTGCTGTTAAACTTCAGCATCTTAGAAGTTATCGGGTAGTAGCATCTTCTGCTTTTGTCCGACTCAGGGAACTGAGTATGCTTGGAGCTTCACACTGTCCCCAGGGCCTGAGGCCTTCCTTCCCTCAGCACATTACCTCTGCTGTCCCCTTTCCCCTGCCAGTGTTTGGGGACTGTAATGACGCAGGAAACTGCCACCATACTGGCACTCACAGAGAAGCCGATTCCAGTTTACAGTTGAAAACCAAGGACCTGGATTGGGACTTTTCTGCCTTAAACTCTAGGGTCTTAGACAAATCATATAATCAAAAACCAAGTTTTTGCACTCTATAGGATTGCACAGCTGCCTCGTGGCCCTGACTTCCCTCCCAGTTCAGCACCTCTTGGTCTCCATCTGTTTCCCAAAAGCTCAGGCTTCTGTGAATCCATGGAGGAATTCGCATTCTGAGAAAGATTCAGTTCCGATTCGTGACTAGAGAGTCTTTCAGAGATGTCTGCCTAAAACTCAAAAGAAACTCCAATCCCTTTAATTCACTTTTGCACCTAAAATTCCTACTTCTGATAAGACATTCCTGCTGCCAATCAGCCAACAATTCTGCCATTTGTTCTCCACTCCCACTAAAAGGACCTGTGTGGTGAACCTGCACTATGTTCTCCCGACTGCGTCTTCCCTCTGTCAGGCTTCAGCAGAGCGGAAAGGAGCAGCCCTCCTGCAAACCCAGCTCCATCCCCAGGGGCCAGGTTGAGGCAAAACCTAAATCTGCAAAGAAGCAAAGAGTGTATTTATTCTTTTGCTCTGACTAGTGCAAAGGTACCTTTGACAAAATCTCAACACAAAATACAGCCTCGTGCCCGGAATGGGCAGTAGAGGGGCGCAGTGGGAAGAGTCCATCAGTCACCACATCGTACCAGAGCAGGTGGCGCACCGCTGCCTTACCGACGGGCGGGACAAGTCTGTGGCCCGGGGTACACACTGCCGCTACACAAGTACACAACATGCAAAAGACAGACCCACAACCTCCAAGAAAATATGGAACAACAAAATCCCTCGCAACCATTGGATGTTCTAGAACAGCTCACACCAACGTGATTTGATGATTTAAAAAAAAATTTACAGAACTGAAATATTTTTTTAAAGACTGTAGTAGTTAGAGTGAATAAATGAATTTTAAACAATGAGGAACAGAAGATACTGGTTAAAATCAAACTAACGGAATCATTTAGAATCTTAAAAAAGGCAGGCATTTGAAGCAGAGAAAAACTGATCACGATAGAAAATTAACAGTGGTCTAAGAGGAGGGTAATTACTGCTACTGAGATACAGAACAAAAGGAAAAAATGATTATTTAAAAGAATTCTTGTCCTTTTTCATTTTATTACAGAACCAAACTTGGGGTCAGTTCAAAGAACAAGTTATGTCACTGGTTTCCTGTCACCAACCCCAGGGGTCCACTTCATTCTGCAGCTGCCACCTCTGTGTCCTTCCAGTGAGCCCCCCATTACCTTTTATACCTGGCCTCCTGCCAAGCCAAGAAAACCCCTATGCTACACTCTCCCCTCCCCATCTTGTTCAAATCATCCCCTCAATGTGGAAAAGCCACCTTTCACTTCACCTTCCTCCATCCTTCTGAATTTCAAACCCATATCCACACCTTCCAGGGACCCTCCTACAACTACTTCACATTGGTCACAGCATGTACCGGGAACTTATGAATACACATGAATGTCTGACTGCCGTCTTCTATTCAGCCTTGACGTTCCTGCTGTTAACAACTACTTTTGATGAGTCCTTAAGAACTCCGTGTAATGGTCCAGAGCATGTGACCGTTTGTAGGATGTAGAAGCATGTCCTAAATCAGGGACCCTGAATGACCATGTAAGGCAGTGCTTCACCTAAGCTGGTGAGCGGACCTAGCCAGCCACCCAGCATCCACGTCTCATCCGCTCAGCATCCAGAAGCATTTTGGGAAAGGCTGTTTGACCATAATATTCACACACTTGGGGGACTCAGGACTGTATGTCTTTAAGTTCTAAGGGTCTAAACCTCTTTTTCCTTGAATATACATGAACAGGACTAACCTGGAAGAAAGGACTGCCACCTAAAGCTACATAGAACCAAGATGGCAGGTGACAGAGCAGACAATTTCATGGCTCCTGTGTCCTCTGGTTCACTTAGCATTAGCCTAAATCTGTCTTGAGGCACAAGGTTCCTGTTAAAATTCCTACAAACTAATACAGCACCACACAGTAATAATTCCAATGCAAATAGTGTGCTATTCTACTTGCTATGCCATTTATGCCAACCAAAATACTGACTGTATTTTGAATGCCTTTTATATGCACAGTCTCCAAATAAAAGCCAAATGCAATCTCCACAGGGACTTGATTTTAAAAGACCATTTATCCTGTCCCTCCTCCCAGGATTCTTTGCCCTGTCCCATAACGTAATCTTACCTCAAAGTACATCCCAGGACTAAATGGGAAACAGGTAATATTTCTCTCTTCTTCTCCCCAGGCCTCGTGAAGAAAAGAGTTTCTTACAAACGCTTTAATATTGAGGCGTGGGTTCAAGTGAAGAGCAATATCCTTTGATTTTCCCGATACGAGGTTAACATTAAAGCTTTTGAGAGAATAAAGAAAATTAACCGGTAGTCAGCAGTGCTCTTCCTACAATTTTAACAAGCAGAACTGAGCTCTCTTCACAACTACACAAAACGTGTGCACACACAGACCTAGGAATGCGGATGAAGGTAGTTTTAAATTCGGAGTTAGCATTCCACTGATGGAAATATGCTCTTTGCAAAATAAAAACCTAAAAAACTTGAACATTAGAGTTGAAGCCACAGATCTGGGTGGGAAGCAACCGAAGGGTTAGAGCAAGTAACCAAAATGCTTGCTTCGGGCTGCCGCCCTCTCAAGTACTATTCTCGGTCATCGTTTACAGCTGTTCTGTTCTTCAGTTTATTGCTTTCTAGGCAATAGGGGATTTCAGTCTTTTGAATGTCTCTAGAAAAGGTTCTTCAGAAATTCCACCAAGTCACATGACATAAGGGGCCCTAACAAGTCAGGGGACCTCCGGGCTGCCCTCAAGTCTTCAAGGCACGGGTGGGCTTCCCGGACAGAAATGCCACCCTCCTGTGTGGCCACAAAAAGCCTAGCTCAAAACACTGGCCTTCAGCCCCTGATTCTGCCACCAGCTCGTTAGCAGTCTTGCTGGCAGCCTGACCTCCCGCTACTTCGACAGCCTCCCCTTTCTGGTGAGGATCAGGACACTAGGCCCGCGCCCGTCCCCCAAGACTGTTAGGGGAAGAAGGCAGGAGGAGACGTGCGTGGAAAGTGTTCGCACTCGTCCTGGTAACTGGTACTGACCCTTTGGCAGCTTTATTCACTTCTCCTTTAATGAAGACGGTTCGTCCAGGGCCCATTGAAGAGTTCAGCCTCGCAGTGAACGGCAGAGTCTGAAGAGAAACCACAGTGAGCACTAGAAGGCCTGCAGAGAGCGACCTCATGGGAGAAAACTGTCCGAAGATACGGGGCCATGGTTAAAGGACTTGCCCCCGTAAGCCCCAGCGGTCAGCACCGCCTGGCTCACAGCCAACACTCAAGGAAAGCGTCTCAGAGGAGGAAATGAATAAATGTGAAGTGGGGTTTGAAATCCCTCGTGTGAGTCACACACACTGAGAAAGTCGCCTACACTCGGGGCCTGCAGCCGTGCTCCACGTTCTGCCTGAGGGAAGCGGCCCAGGTGGGAGCATTACAGAAACACTCAGCCCAGAGACTCGATGCCCAGCTGATCTCCTCTGTCCGGGGTCCGCACAGAAAGGCAGAGTGGCTGCTCTGGGCTTCTACTGAGGGCAGAAGTTATACATTACCAGCTAATTCAAGCTTAATCGGTTATACAAAATTAAGAAAATTTTTGGTTCTTCAAACCTTTGACAAACAGCTGGTAGGTAGTATTTTGGCGCAAGTCAAAGTGTGATGGGCAGTCGAACCTTTGCTCTTGGTGTAGACAGTTCTGGGTACGATTTTAGAAATGTCTCCTCTATTACTAGGCTGTTGGGGAAAGAGTTCTGCAGTAAGGTGGGGAAGGAATGAAGCTGTCTTCTAAGGTTTAAACTATTCATGTCCTGGGCGATTTTACAAAATGTTCCCTGTTATAACCTGGGCAGAAATACTTACAAAATGTGGCATGTCGGACTTCAGTACCTATTGGAAAAGAAAGTCAAAGTGAAGACATTTGAAAGGGAAAAATGCATTTTCTAACATGATCAGTCAGAGCCTATTGCTTATAACAGGCAGAGCCGGCGCTTCCTGACGGTGTGCCGTGGAGCTGTGAGCGACAGGCTGCTCAGGCTGGGGGTACAGCCTCATGGCCCTGGTCATCGGAAGCCTGTATCCTCTGGCATAAATAACTTTTTTGTAGGACTACACGTGAAATTCAGACATATTTTACTTGTTCTTTCCAAGGTGCTCCCAAGATGCTGAGCTACTATATTCCATCTATTAGGTCACAGGTTCCGAGACCACTAAGGCATCACTTTGTCCATTAATAACAAAGACTGTACTTGTTCCTACCAGCGAGAAGATACATGTGGGAGTTCATGTGTCAATGCACTGTGTTCAGTATTTATAAATACTGTGACAGTTCTCTTCAACAGGTAAAAGTGAGAGGGGTTTTTTTTGTTTTATGTAAGAATGGCAGCTAGTGGGCAGATGCACTGAGCTCAAGCATCTGCACAACTAACAGGGCCTGGGACAGAAGGAAATGCCTTAATTTTCAAATGCTTACTTCAAGCCTATTAATATTAAAAATAATTTTTCACATTAAAAACATAATTTTTAAAAACTCAGCCTACCACCTGATTCACATGGCAACTAAAAGAACATTTTCAAACTGGTAGTTCATTAAAAGATGTAATATTTACATTTTCTTTACTTATCTCTGTCAGTTCCAGAGTAGATGCTTGGGTACTTCTGAAATCCTGAAGATAAGATTAATTTTTAACATCCATCAGAATTCTAAATACAACCCTCCCTGACATATCAAAAACAATTATAAATAGTACTAAACATGAAAATATGCTTGAAAATTACAATCCAAAAATGTACTTAACGTAAGGGTCCTCCCCCCACCCCCCCAATCAGACTGGCAAGTATTACAGAGACTAAGAATGAGCATCAAGAAGAATGTGAGCGAGCGGGCACGGCAGCCGAGACGGTAACGTTCCTGGAAAGCTTTCTGGAAGGTGAGCTTGCCAGCCCTCCAGCTGCTATCAGTTGTAACTTAAAATGCAAATACCTTTGACTCAGACTTTCTACTTCTAGGAACTGATCTTTGACAAATCCTCCATTGTATTCCTGTGTCAAGGAATTTGCCCCTGTTAAAAAGGGTTTTTGTTTTGTTTTGTAGTCACTGTTTTGGGTTTTGTTGTTGTCAGAGCCATACAAGATTTGAGATCCTATAGACACTGAAGCCCTGGCCCGGACATAGCAAACTACCAGTCTGAAAGATTCACTTCCAAGAAATTAATACACTAATGACGGAAACATTTACAGAATTTTTACCTTAACAGAAGACACTAAAGATATTTCCTACCGTGTCATCAGAAGACATCAGCGAAGAAGAGCCCAGCGGTGGAAGGGTACTCACCGAGCTGAAGCTATAACCAACTGAGTGGACATTCACTTTGCCATAAATGCCCAGAGTGTCTACTTTCCCTGGGCTAATCCTGTGGGCATAGAGCAGTATATGTTTCCCATTTACAGCCACCTACATGGACAGAGAAGACAGCCCAGCATCCCCGAAAAAAAAAAAAAAAAGAACAACAAAAAAAAGAACAAAAAAAAAACACCAATTAATACATTTACTAATGCATCCAAATTTAAATCATGTTTACTTGGGTTTAGTGTCTTCTCTGCACATTCCATGTCTGACCAAACTGACTGGAAGCATCCATAATATTAGCAGTGTTTCTTAACTTCCTCTGAGGAACAACCATGGAACCTCCCCGCCCACCGACAAATTATGCATTCATGAATACAGATGTGCATACGCATGTGTGTCCCTGTGCATGTACATGAGACACTGGGCTTCAGAGTCACCTGATCGCCTCGTCCTGCAAGCCTGCCACCCTGCCCGCTGTCCTAGAGGACCACACTCTAAGGAAGACCACCCTGCACACCACAGGTGCTCAGTAAATCTTGTATCTGCTGAATGAACACACATGGGCCAGCTACTCAGTTCAGCTTCAATTCCTACTGTAAGTGGGAAAAGGCTCACCCTCAAGGCAAGGGCTGCTGTTGGGAGGAGACCAGAAAGTCACTCCTGAGCGTCCTGCAGCACTGGGCCTGCCAGCAGGGACCCGCTCCACTTGGCTCCGCGGCCCTCCCTCCCAGACAGGGGATGTCGGGAGAACACAGGCCACATGCAAACCATTCCCCGACCTCCAGAAGCTTAAAATCCCACTGGTGGGTAAAATAAACCCAGAAGAAGGCACCACAGTACAGGAAGGAGTGTTTTTAAAGAATGCTGTAGACACAAGTGCTCAGAAAGCCAGGCAAGGGAGGGATAAATGGCGACTGGGCGATTCTGGGGCGTTGTCTTGGGAGCATATCCCGAAGGACAGAAAGGACCCACACTAGAGATGGGGAATCTTCCCTCTAAGGCGAGCGGATTTCAGGTCCGCTGAGATCTGAGCTCTGAACCTCAGGGAGGTTCAAGGCTCCATGGGGCTTGCGGGTCAGTGCCTCCAAAGCCTCCAGGGCCACCTTCTGCCTCACCCCTACACGCTAGCACGGGCAGGGGCTTTACCGCTTGAAGCCAACGCTGGTATTTACTATGCGTAGGACTTCTACGAACTCCTCTGCATCTAAAATCTCATGATCCTAAAGAACTTGTGGCAGGACTTAACTCTGATTCCCTATCCATCTGTGAGTTCCGGATGCCCCCACATTTGGGTCACAGTGATCACGGTTTACTATCCCAGTTAGAGGATGCTGTGCTGATTCGGATCTAAGCTCAGCCATGCTAGCAGAAATAGGATCGAATAAAAAGATCTGGCTTCCCTGGACACATATTCCGGATGAAACACCAGAGGCAGACACAGGTGTGCCCCACCTCACATTCAGGTACTCCCCGGGCCCCTGCTTTCGAGCCAAAGGATGGAGCCACTCTTTTTCTCTGAGTTAAAATAACAAAGGATGAGTTCATGGATGTGCAGAGCTGCCCTGGGCGCTTATGGTCATTAATGAGGATTCCACCTTCTTTCTCCAAAACCTACCTGGAATTTATCTTTCAACACCATAATCACAATTTCAAAAGATTTTTCTTTTTTGAAAGGCACATCGTAGGTGATCTCTTCCCACCCCCATTTTTCATTTTTCAGAGTATTGCACACGATGCAGTCCGACCACTTGAAGCGTGGATTGAAATGAAAGGCCACGTCGGCACGCGGCTTCACGCTGCTCCCGCACTGTAGATCAATCTGGAACCTGCAAGAGCAAGGAGCGAGGAGCCATTTGAGAGCCCAGAAGGAGGCTGCAGGGGAAAGCCCAGCAAGCACAAAACTCCAGCCTCAGAGACCTAGGACTGATCCTCTGTTCACTCACCCAGGTGGCCTAAATACCTTCTTACAGAATCTTCCTTTCCTTCCTCAGTGCAGAGCCCTGAGCTGGGGCCATGTCAATGCAGAGCAAGGGGCCATGTCAATGCAGAGCAAAAGCCCACATTTTTCAGCCTCCCTGGAAGGCAGGTGGCCTCTGGTGCCGGAGGTTCTGCTGAGGTGCAGGTGCTCAGGGAAGACTCCTGAGAATGGCCCCAGTCAGCTGGCATCTGTCTTTTGTCCACTCCCCTGCCCCCTCCCCCCAAACCCCTCAGGCACCCACCCAGCCACCCAAAACATGGTGTGAGGGCTAGGTTTCTAGCTGCCACGAACCATGAGAAAAAGGACCCAACCCAAGGGACAGCAGAACTGTGAGCTGAGAGGCCTGCTTCTCTAGATTCTACGGAACTCCCTAGAAACATGTGGGCTATCTTCTTCAGACTTGACTTTCACTTCTTACTTAAACCGCTGTCATCCAGGCCTCAGAGGCGGCCCAGCTCGAACTTAAGACAGCCTCATCCAGTTTGTACCAGAGCAAGCATCAGACGACTCACCCCGAACGGATCATAAGCAATGCTGTGGGAATGTTACACTGCAACTCGACCTTGTCCCTGGGGTCTGACCACAGTTCCCATCGCTAACTAAATCTCTAATACTTTACAGCAGTAAAACAAAACATCCAAGTGAACTTTATCTCAGCTGCTTATTCCCATCTCCTCAGCACCTGGGCCGTCGATGAAAGCAAAACCAGGCCTCAAAGTACCAAAACAGTCTCCCCACAAAAAGTTCAGTCTTGTTCCTTTTTCAACTAACCACGGTAGCTTTACCTGTCTGAATCACAGGGAACATGCCCACGTATTACAATCAAAGTTCCAGGCTCCAACTGCCCAGGAATGGTCCCAACATAGGGGATTACCTAGGAAAAAATAATTTTAACAAGTGGATGTTTACAGAAAACAAAGACTACATTTTGAAAGGATGCATGTAAATCTCAGAATCTTATAGCGTTTTCCAAGTCACTATTCAAACAGGATAGTGACAGGATCTGAAACATCTTGGAGTTCTTCAGAGAAAGATACAGCTGGAAGTTCATAGAACTTTTTATTTGGCTGGGGGTTTTGTGAAATAAAATGTCTACTTAACAGGATAATTCTGCTAACAGAAGAAACAACTTGCTGGAAGTCCTCTCCCTCTCCCCCTCCGTTTCCCCTAAAGTTCCACTAATGATCCGAACGTGGGACCGAGACCATGCAAGGCCCCAAGCCCATGTTGATGGAGGCAGCAACATTCACTTACTGCCTGGGGAGGGGGCTCCAAACATAGCCCCTTCTCCACACCTGGGATCCGAGTGTCTAATCTTCCCTGCCAGGATTCCAGACCCTTGCTGGGAATCAGAACCGCGTGATCTTAGGGTGCCTATGGTATCTCAAGGCCTAGCACCCGCCTGGCCTGGCCTGGTCCAGTCTGCAGACTTAGGCTGTAACACAGTATCCAGGTCTCTGCCTGCCCCCTTATCACGGAACTCAGCCTTTCTGCCTGGGTTGGGACACACTATCAGATCTTGTCACTCCCTTTCCCCAGAGCCGACTCCACCATCGTCCCCACCCACTGGCTGTGTCTCCTGCATCACGACCATCGCCCCTTCCACTCAGGGGCATCTGAGCAAGACAAGCAGGCCAGATGCCATCATGCTCTACACCAAGCTCACTCCAGTTATGATAAAAATGCTAAAGTCTATCCAAGGTAGCTCTGATCATCAAGAAATAAGACCTAAAATGAGAGGACACATAAAAGTAGTTGTAGAGGGGCACCTGGGTGGCTCAGTGGGTTGGGCCTCTGCCTTAGGCTCAGGTCATGGTCCCTGGGTCTTGGGATTGAGCCCCCACATCAGACTCTCTGCTCGGCGGGGAGCCTGCTTCTCTGCCTACTTGTGATCTCTCTCTGTATCAAATAAATAAATAAATAAAATCTTAAAAAAAAAAAAAAAAAAGTAGTTGTAGATCGGTTGCTCCTAAACAGAAAATCTCAGCTCCAGGGCCATCTCCTCCATGAAGCTTTTTTCAGACTCCATGGGCCAACAGACTTAACCCCTCTCCAAGGACCCCTCACAGCACATGAGACGCTGCCTCAATTTTAAGCTGCGCAGGGCAGGCCTCAGTCGGCCCCTTCAGGTGCCCACAACTGGGGTCAGGAGATGATCGGTGGTTACATGGTGAGGAGTGAGTGCTCGTCAGCCCAGAAACCAGGTTCCGGCAAGCCACACATATGCAGCTGAGCGGCGGCAGCTCAACGAGCGTGCTGCGGCCTGGACCAGTGAGCCGAGCGATGGCTGAGCGCAGCAGGAAATGACTGAAGCCAGCTGTCACCCAGTGTCGTGACAACTGCTGAGAGCAAGGTGGGTGGGAGGAACAGAGCCCATCACACCAGAAAACACAACACATGCACAGAAGGAGGCTACTGCCACACACCAGAGTTGCTGGGTTTTGCCTGGAGAGGATACGGAAGGAATTACACTTCCACACTGATCTGGGCTGCGGCCAATTCCAGGAACAGCCAGCAGCACCCTTCTCAGGGTGAATCTCTTAATCAACTGAACAGTCTTCGTGACTTCGAATTTTATATACATTTCAACTGTATTTATGCAGAATGATGCAAAAAGGTAGGGATATAAATATTAGTGAGAAAAGAGCCTGTAGAACTAGACACAGTATGATCTAACTAAGTTAATGATAAACATTAAAAAAAAAAAAAACACTGTAATGAAAGAAACCAAGAATGTTAACAATAGTTTTCTTAAGGAATGGGATCTTAATTTTCTTCATGTATTTTTATATTTTGCAGATCTCTATGATAAGCATTTATATTTTTATAACAAGTTTTTATTATATATTTAACTTTAGGTTTGGAAACTTTCTGAGACCAGTAATCTATTCCCATCACCGCTAATAAGTTCTCCCCAATTGTTAATAAATTGTTATTTATTCTGAGAAACAACAGTGCTGCACTCCTTCGCCATCTGCTGTTTCAGCTGTCTGCATGAGCGCTTTCTACATAGGAAAGCGCCCTCCACGGTGTCAGTCATACTCAGGTGACTGGGACCATGTGAGTGACACAAAGGCTCTGCAGCCCACTCCTTGAACTCAGCACTCTGCAGAAAGGGAGAAGGGTATTGTTTTGCAGGCAAATGTCAGGCTTCGGATGTTTCATGAATAATTTATGTAAAAAAATTAAAAGCCAGTTCTGATCACACTGGAGACAATACCGTAAGCCGAAGCCATACTTGGGTTTAGTGCTACCTGCTGGAGCGTCCTAGCTGTCTCATCCTGCTCTGCCTATTGCAGGATTACTTCCGTGATGTCTGCTACCCACAAAGGCCTCTCCCTAGGCGGCTGCTGCAGCTAAAAGAAGTACGTGAGTCCTGTCCAGGAGGAGCTTATAACGCAGCTGGGGAGAAGTCAGAGCCCCGTGGACATGGGATACTCTGGCTGTTCAGAATCACAGTCTTGTCCCGTATCTGGAAGATCCTCCCTCAGCCTCATCCAGACTGCAGGGAAGGGCAAGGGCATGGGACGAATCCCTGTCACTTAGGACTGCCAGACCTCCCAGACAGGAAGTTAGAACCAGGGCAAGAAGCCAGAATCAGAGTGCTGGTTCAGCCGGTGGGCGGCAGCGCTCCCTGGGGTCGGAGGCACAGCCGGTCCAGGTGGGGTTGCCAGTGCAAGGGGACCATCTTGGGGGAGGAGGGTTAACAGTCATACAGCACGACTTTGAGTGTCGTCTGTGATTCTGTAGTTGCCAAGCGTGGTTCTTCAGTCCTGCTAGAGATTCTCAGAACTATTGGGTGTCAGTGAATAATGCCTTTTCGGCTCAGACTGGCTCCTGGGCTTGCAGCTGCAAGCTCGAAGCTCAACACCTTCAAATATAGGGCAGAAGAGGCCAAACTGGTGCTCCAGAAACCATTCCAGGTTGCCCAAATACAGTTTCTAAGGAGGTGTGATGTGAGCTGGGCAGTTAGGAGGGGAAAGCCAGTTCAGGAAGACATGTCCATCTACAAAAGCAGAGGCAGGAAAAGACGAAACAGATCCGGCAGACATGAGCAGTAGGGGGCGGTACAGCGCGCCTGGGAGGCTTGGCTGAATGTCCGCCTTCGGCTCAGGTCATGATCCCAGGGTCCTGAGATGGAGTCCTGCATCAGGTTCCTTGCTCAGCAAAGAGCCCGCTGTTCTCTCTGCCCACTGCTTCCCCTGCTTGTGCTAGCTCTCTACTTTGACAAATAAAATCTTTGAAAAAATTAAATGGGGGTGGGGGAGAGTTCAAGACAGAGGGTCGGACTGCAGTATGTGATCACGAAAGCAGGGCTTGGGGACAGCAGTCCAGTCGGGAACAGCACAGTGGAGCATGGGGCATTCACGGGGAGAGTGGCTACTTTAGGGAGCCGGAGACAAGGACAAGCCAGGCTGATGGCAGCAGACATGGGGAGACGCGGGGAGGAAGAGACACACACAAGAACTACTTCCAAGGGAACGATCTACAGAGGGCCACCATCTAACACGGTAAAACTGAGGAGGAAACCAATTTCAGAAGGAAGAGGAGTATCATTTTGAACAAGTCTGGTGTGACGGGTTGGGAGAACGGCTAAGAGCACATACGCTGAAAGGAATAGTGGATACAGGGCCACACGGGATGTGAGAGGCCAGGACTCACGCTCTGAGTCCAAGAAGAGAGGGTTACTGAAGGTATCAAGGCATGGAACCTAAAAGAATGGAAAAGCTAGGGCAAAGGTTTATAAAATGGTTTGTAAACTGAGGGACTATGCAGAAGGGAGTTCACAGACAGACCGCCAGCGCTGCAAGGCCTCCTGACGAGGTTGGCCCTTGGCTGGGGTCTAGGAACTTGGATCTAGGGAGTGCACCCACCACCCAGACGGCTAAGGGTGGTCTCCTGTACTTAAACGGCAAGCCATGTGCAAGCTTCCCCGGTGGGCAGCATTTCACATGCACTGTCGCAGCTCGTTGCTGGGGGGTTCCAGTGGGTCCGGGGGAGCCCACTGGGGGAGGGCCTGCGGAACCCGGCACCTGGTTTCCCCTGGACTTCGCCCCAGGTGCCTTTCCCTTAGTGACGTTGCTCTGTGTCATTTCACTGTAATAAATCACAGCCATGAGTAGGACTCTGTGCCAGTGAGTCATCACGCCTGGGTGTGTGTGTCAGGGACCTCGATGCGGGGGACGGGAAGAGAAAGGAGAGAAGGCCCAGTCAGCTAGACACATCAAGGAGGTCAATGTCCACATGGGAAGGCTGTCAAAATCCTTAACATGGATAAATAAGGAAGATTTTTTAAAAAGATAACGAAGTGGCGATCATGCCCTTTGATCCAGTGATTCCACTTTTACAGACTGTAAAATTCAGGCATACACCAGGCTGTACCACACAGCACTGAATCCCATCACAAAAGCCAACAGTCCTTTAAAGGAAACTGGCTGAATAAGCGACAGTACACCCATACCACGGGCCAGTCGTGCAGCCAGGAAGATTCGCGAGGCAGTGCCACGTGTACTGAACTCTCCGAAACGCATTCACTGGGGAAAGCAGCACACAGAGCAGTGTCTATGCAGGCACACTCAGATTGCGGGCTCGGATTCCGGGCCACTTCGGTAGAGTGCAGAGGGCAGTAAAGCTCTTCAGATATGCTGTCTGGTTTCCCAGTGCAGGAAGAAGTTATATTTACAAGATACCACAGTCTATTAAGTGTGCAATGGCACTACACCTAAACCAAAAAGTACTTTTTTTAATTTAAAAATACTGCTACGGGGACACCTGGGTGGCTCAGTGGGTTAAAGCCTCTGCCTTCGGCTCAGGTCATGATCTCAGGGTCCTGGGATCGAGCCCCACATCGGGCTCTCTGCTCAGCAGGGAGCCTGCTTCCCCCTCTCTGCCTGCCTCTCTGCCTACTTGTGAAGAGAGCAAACGCTGTTGGGAAAATGGTGCTGAGAGGCCTGACTGGGCCTGCCACAGACCCTCACTTTGCGAGAAGCACCACAAAACGAGGTCTGTAGTGAAGAAACAGGATCAACAAAAGTGATACAACACACTCTGGGATATTCACGTGTACTCTCAGAAAAGATATACAAAAAACCGGTAAATATGGTTGCCTTCAGGGAGGGGAACCGAGCACCAAGGCAGAAGGAAAATTATGGCTTAATGTAACCCTTAAATACAGTTTGCTTTTTTTTTTTTTTTTTTTTTGACAGACAGAAATCACAAGCAGGCAGAGAGGCAGGCAGAGAGAGAAAGGGAAGCAGGCCCCCTGCTGAGCAGAGAGCCCAATGTGGGGCTCAATCCCAGGACCCTGAGATCATGACCTGAGCTGAAGGCAGGGGCTTTAACCCACTGAGCCACCGAGGCGCCCCTACAGTTTGAATTTTTAAAAATGATTTATACATACTGTCATTAGATTTTAAAAATAATAATAAAAAAAGGAAAAGCCACTGGGTTGAACATAAATAAATGAAATGAAATTTGGAACACAGATTATCCTCAAACTATTCAGGGCTTGGCGGCATGGGAGGAGGCATAATTAAACAGCAGAAAGGCATGGAAAGAAATGGAAACCCGCAAAAGGGAAGCTGATTCGGGGAGGAAGACATGACTTTAGTTATAAACTCCTCAGTCCTGAAAGGCCGGCAGAGCATCTAAGAGCATTGGGTAAAAGGCCAGAACTGCTCACATACTGTGTACATACTCAGAAGGTCTAACAGTGATCAGTAAAGACAAAATGGAAAAGACATGACTAGTAAAGACAAAGAGGAAATTAAGAAAGAGTTAAAAAAAAAAAAATCAGAGGGCAGAGCTGTGGTGAGGGAATGAAGACTGCAGAACGGATGCTGTCTCGGGACACTAGTCTGCTAGGGGAGAACAAGAAGGACATGGGGCTGGATGAGACCATGGAGGTTAAGATTTAACTCTTTTGGGGCGCCTGGGTGGCTCAGTGGGTTAAGCCTCAGGTCATGATTTCAGGGTCCTGGGATTGAGTCCCGCATCAGGCTCTCTGCTCAACAGGGAGCCCCATCTCTCTCTGCCTGCCTCTCTGCCTACTTGTGATCTCTGTCAAATAAATAAATAAAATCTTTAAAAAAAAAAACATTAAAAAAAAAGATTTTACTCTTTTGTGTTTTAAGATTCAGTGCTAAGGCAGAAAGGGGGCTACTCAGAATATGAAGGAGATGAAGGATAAACGTGGAAGCAAGGTTCCCAAGGAGACTGGAAGGGTGTTTTGGCACCAGGTGGAATGAATGTTAACCACCAGTGTGAGTCACTGCTAAAGAGCATCTTAACCAGCTCACACTCGGTCACAGATTAAGAACTGCATAAATAGCAATCAGTGAAATGAATTGGGTATGAGAAAGCACACAGAACAGTTAACAGTGCACTTTGCTTTTTCTAAGAAGACAATGTGGATAGAATTTGCTGCCAATGTGGATGGAAACTTTAGAAACATTAAGAAAAACTAAAAGGCAGTAGTTTCTGTGTCTTCCTGATAAGTCAACAAACACATGAGTGTGCACACTGCTTAAGCTCTTCTCCCATCTGTAGCTAGCTACCCTTCCAATGTTCAAAACACAACGGGTAAAAGAAATAGAGGCTGCCAAGTAATTTAGAGATTTTAAGTCAATCTATTAGGATACTATACAACCTAGACTTAAAAAGAACTATTTTCTTGCATTACAGTTATTTTGTTAGTGAGCATAGCAGTGTGAGCACTTGGGTGCTATGAATATTTCTTTAATAAGTTAAAGACGGAGCACAATGTCATTTTTTTAAAAGATTAACTTATTTTAGAGAGATTGAGACACAGAAATAGAGAAAGGCATGGGGGGCTAGGGAGTAGGGAGAGAAAGAATCCCAAGCAAACTCTGCACCGAGCACAGAGCCCAACAAAGAGCTCAATCTCATGACCCTGAGATCACAACCTGAGCCAAAATCAAGAGTAGGACGTGTTGCCCCAGCAAAATGTCATTTTTGCTATTCAGGTCAATCTTTCTATCTCGACCCTTTTCTGCTTGTGAAAACAGACTATAATACAGAGAAGCTTTAAAAAAAAAAAAAAAAAGGAAAAGAAAGAAAGGCTTCTGCCAAAAATCTTTACTGTGGAAGAATGTGTCACCATAAACTACCCTCAGCGCAGGAGCGAGGCCGTGTGGATGCCCTGGCTGTTTCCCGCCCCGGAGCAGCACTGTCTCTGGGCGTTCGGCAGGAAATGAACATCAGTGTACTCTTGTTTCGACCCTTCAGCTGAATGTGCTAAAGCCAGAAATTACAGGAATCATCAGCATGCTTGTACCAGGATGCACAGGGATTTTAATCTAAAAAATGACTCTAAATCGCACTCAGATGAGGCACCTTCATGCAGGAAGGGCAGAACTGCGGAGCGTCACCCGACCATCCCTTCCACCTCCTGGTGGGAGCCAGGACTGTACTCCAGGCACCCTTGTGGACAGGTTTTTTTTTTTAATCTTTGCAGAAAGTCCATCTACAACCTTGAGATGTTGTTGCTGTTGTTTTTTAAGTAGGCTCCACGCCCAGCATGGAGCCCAGTGTGGGGCTTGAACTCACGACCCTGAGATCAAGACACTTAACCAACTGAACTACCCGGGCATCCCCAACCTGGAGATGTTTTTAACTCAAAGATACAGAAAATCATTTTATATGTCTCACTTCAAACTCGGTCTTCCTTTTTAAAGGACGCCTACTAGTGAAGGCTATTTCTTCTAAAATGGAACTTGCTTGAGCGCTGGTTGTCCCTGCTCTGCACAATGACATCAAAACCTGGATTAAAAAGAGTTACCACTAGAAAGTAAGTAACAAAAAAAGGGGACCACAAACACTAATGAGACTGGCTTACCTGCTTTAAGGACTCACACCCTGTCTCTCTTGCCCACCAGTCTCCTGGGGGGATGGTTACAAAAGAAAAGCAGCAACTCTACCTCAGACCTAAATTCAGGATTCAGCTTCAGATATGTGGAAACCAGACATTTCTAAAGATTGTTTCCACCACATTAAAACAAGTTCATTCCTTCCCAGGATGTTCCTGAAACTTCCAGCAATTGCAGTCACTGGGGCTCTTGGACCACAAGACCCTAATTCTTCTCTTTAGCCATGTTGCCCCTAGCTTTTGACCTTTTCCCCATACAAGTACGAAACAGTATTTGAAAGGCAGAGGGAAAAGCTGAGACATTTACTTCTCATGAACTGGGTCTAATGAAAAAAGAAAATTAAAAATTTGTAGAGCAATGAATCCATTTTCCTTTGAAAATTATGTCTTGTGATTATCTTCCCAGCACCACCAAAGTTGGCTTCCCCGCACTGCCATGCTCTCCATTCAGAACACGTCCTCACCACCCTGTATTGTCACCGTGACCTCGTCCTCCACTAGACTGAGCTCCACCACAGTCCCTGTCACAGTCCCTTTCCATATGTTTACTGAATTTGATGGTCTCTTCTCCCCAGCAATGGACAATTACTATCCAGTTGGATTTGCTCTAAATCCCGCCACAGATAAAAAGTGATTGTATAGCAATCACTTACCGGGTTATAGACGATATTCTGCAGGTTTGTCAAGGACAACATCACTCTTTTCCACCTTACTGTTGGTTGAGGTCTCTCCTCTGTGTAGGATCTAAGATTTTAAGCAAGTTTCATTTAAAGGCTTCCCAGATTAAAACTGATGCTCTTGCCCTGTGTAAAATTAAAAGTCAGAAAGAAAAATTAGCATGCATTATTTTTCTTTTTAACTGTTTTTAAATTACAAATTATTTTACTTATATCTACCAAATAATAGGATATTACAATCAAAGCTGTGACCCCAATTCTTTCATTGTGTACGTGCACACTAAATAATTTTGTTTTCAAGTGCACATGGAACCTTCTCCAAAACAGACCACATACTAGGTCACAAATCAGGGCTCAACAGATGCCAAAAGACTGAGATTATTCCCTGCATATTCTCAGATCACAATGCTTTGAAACTGGAGCTCAATCACAAGGAAAAGTTTGGAAGGAACTCAAACACCTGGAAGCTAAAGACCACCTTGCTTAAGAATGCTTGGATCGACCAGGAAAACAAAGAACTTAAACAATTCATGGAAACCAATGAGAATGAAGACGATTTGGTCCAAAACCTATGGGATACAGCAAAGGCAGTCCTAAAGGGGAAATACATAGCCATCCAAGCCTCCCTTCAAAAAACTGAAAAATCCAGAATATACCAGCTATCTCTACACCTTAAAGAACTGGAGAATGAACAACAAATTAAGCCAACTCCACACACAAGAATGGAAATAATCAAGATTAGAGCAGAGATCAATGAGGTAGAAACTAGAGAAACAGTAGAACGCATCAATGAAACTAGAAGCTGGTTTTTTGAAAGAATAAGATCGATAAACCATTGGCCAAACTAATCCAAAAGAAAAAAGAGAAGACCCAAATTAATAAAATTATGAATGAAAAGGGAGATATCACAACTAACACCAAGGAAGTAGAAACAATCATCAGAAGTAATTATCAACAGTTATATGCCATTAAGTTAAGCAACCTAGATGAAATGGATGCATTCCTGGAAAACTATAAATTCCCAAAATTGAACCAGGAAGAAATCGACAACCTGAATAGAACGACATCTAGTACCGAGATTGAAGCAGTGATCAAAAACCTCCCAAAAAAACAAGAGCCCAGGACCTGACGGATTCCCTGGGGAATTCTACCAAACTTTCAAAGAAGAAATAACACCTATTCTCCTGAAGCTGTTTCAAAAAATTGAAGCAGAAGGAAACTTCCAGACTCTTTTTATGAAGCCAGCATTACCCTGATCCTCAAACCAGGCAAAGACCCCACCAAAAAGGAGAATTTCAGACCAATATCACTGATGAATATGGACACTAATATTCTCAACAAGATCCTAGCAAATAGCAAATACGATCCAACAGCACATTAAAAAGATTATCCACCATGACCTGGTGGGATTCATCCCTGGGTTGCAAGGACGGTTCAACATTCGCAAATCAATCAATGTGATAGAACAAATCAATAAGAGAAAAGAACCACATGGTCCTCTCAATTGATGCAGAAAAAGCATTTGACAAAATCCAGCATCCGTTCCTGATTAATAGAGGGAACATTCCTGAACTTAATAAAATCTATCTATGAAAGACCCACAGCAAATATCATCCTCAATGGGAAAAAGCTCACAGACTTTCCGTTGAGATCAGGAACACAAGGATGCCCACTCTCACCACTCTTGTTCAACATAGTATTAGAAGTCCTAGCAACAGCAATCAGACAACAAAGAAATAAAAGGTATCTAAATTGGCAACGAAGAAGTCAATCTCTCTCTCTTTGCAGATGACATGATACTTTATATGGAAAACCCTAAAGACTCCACCCACAAACTACTAGAACTCATAGCAATTCAGTAAGGTGGCAGGATACAAAGTCAATGTACAGAAATCAGTTGCTTTCTTATACACTAACAACGAAAACAAAGAAAGGGAAATTAGAGAATCAGTGCCATTTACTATAGCACCAAGAGTCATAAGATACCTGGGAATAAACCTAACCAAAGAGGTAAAGGATCTATACTCGAGAACTACAGAACATTCATGAAAGAAATCAAAGAAGACACAAAAAGATGGAAGACCATTCCATGTTCTTGGATCGGAAGAATAAACATTGTTAAAATGTCTATATTGCCTAGAGCAATCTATACTTTTAATGCCATTCTCATCAAAATTCCACCGGTTTTTCAAAGAGCTGGAGCAAATAATCCTAAAATTTGTATGGAATCAGAAGAGACCCTGAATTGCTAAGGAAATGTTGAAAAACAAAAACAAAACTGGGGGCATCACGTTGCCGGATTTCAAGCTTTACTACAAAGCTGTGATCACCAAGACAGCATGGTACTGGCATAAAAACAAACACTTGGACCAGTGGAACAGAGTAGAGAGCCCATATATGGACCCTTGACTTTATGGTCAAATAATCTTCAACAAAGCAGAAAAAATATACAATGGGGAAAAAAAAGTCTCTTCAATAAATGGTACTGGGAAAACTGGACAGCTATATGTAGAAGATTGAAACTCGACCATTCTCTTACATCGTACACAAAGATAAACTCGAAATGGATAAAAGACCTCAACGTGAGACAGGAATCCATCAGAATCCTAGAGGAGAACATAGGCAGTGACCTCTTCTATATCAGCCACAGCAACTTCTTTCAAGATAGGTCTCCAAAGGCAAAGGAAACCAAAGTGAAAATGAACTTTTGGGACTTCATCAAGATCAAAAGCTTCTGCACAGCAAAGGAAACAGTCAACAAAACAAAGAGGCAACCCACGGAATGGGTGAAGATATTTGCAAATGACAGTACAGACAAAAGGTTGATATCCAGGATCTATAAAGAACTTCTCAAACTCAACACACAAAACAGGTAATCATATCAAAAAAATGAGCAGAAAACATGAACAGACACTTCTCCAATGAAGACATACAAATGGCTATCAGACACATGAAAAAATGTTCATCATCACTAGCCATCAGGGAGATTCAAATTAAAACCACCTTGAGATACCACCTTACACCACTTAGAATGGCCAAAATTAGCAAGACAGGAAACAACGTGTGTTGGAGAGGATGTGGAGAAAGGGGAACCCTCTTACACTGTTGGTGGGAATGCAAGTTGTTGCAGCCAATTTGGAGGACAGTGTGGAGATTCCTTAAGAAATTAAGTATAGAGCTTCCCTATGACCCTGCAATTGCACTACTGGGTATTTACCCCAAAGATACAGATGTAGTGAAAAGAAGGGCCATCTGTACCCCAATGTTTGTAGCAGCAATGGCCACGGTCGCCAAACTGTGGAAAGAACCAAGATGCCCTTCAATGGACGAATGGATAAGGAAGATGTGGTCCATATACACTATGGAGTATTGTGCCTCCATCAGAAAGGACAAATACCCAACTTTTGTAGCAACATGGACGGGACTGGAAGAGATGATGCTGAGTGAAATAAGTCAAGCAGAGAGAGTCAATTATCATATGGTTTCACTTATTTGTGGAGCATAACAAATAACATGGAGGACAAGGGGAGTTAGAGAGGAGAAGGGAGTTGAGGGAAATTGGAAGGGGAGGTGAACCATGAGAGACTATGGACTCTGAAAAACATTCTGAGGGTTTTGAAGGGGCGGGAGTGGGAAGTTGGGCCAGCCTGGTGGTGGGTATTGTGGAGGGCACGTATTGCATGGAACACTAGGTGTGGTGCGTAAACAATGAATTCCAGAACACTGAAAAGTCATTAATAAAAAATTTAAATAAATAAATAAATAAATAATTTTGGATCATCGGTGCAGGAAATAGTGATTTAAAATATACATTAGTAAGGCGCCCAGCTAGCTCAGTCGGTAGAGCATGAGACTCTTAAAATATACATTAGTAGAGGGGCACCTGGGTGGCTCAGTGGGTTAACGCCTCTGCCTTCGGCTCAGGTCGTGATCCCAGGGTCCTGGGATCGAGCCCCACATTGGCCTCTCTGCTCAGCGGGGAGCCTGCTTCCCCCTCTCTCTCTTCCTGCCTCTCTGCCTACTTGTGATCTCTGTCTGTCAAATAAATAAAATCTTTAAAAAAAAAAAATAAAATATACGTTAGTAGAGAAGATGGTTCAAAATGGCCACATAGGTAGATCCGGAGCTCACCTCCTCCCAAGGACACAACAAACCTACAACTACGTATGGCAAACCTCCTTCTAAAGGGGGACTTGGAAACTGGATGAACAGCACTTACACAACAAGACACAGCCTGAGACAGGTAGACGAGGCAGAAATCTTGTCTCACTAATGGAAAAACCACACCCAGGAATGGTATTGCACAGTCCAGACAGATCTCAAAGGAATGGAAATTTTCCCAGAGGAGTGAGAAATTCAAACTCACATCAGGCTTTATATCCTGCACAGATGAGACGGCCCCCCAAACAACTGGCTTTCAAAACCAACAAGGAATCACCCATACAAACTATAGGAATCTAGGGAGGGAAAACCCATTCTTAAAGGGCCTGTGCAGACTCATTCGACCCAGAAACCAGCACAAAAATACCAGACAAGAAGCATAGAGACTACAGGTGAAGGAGACCCCCTATTAACCTTGGGCCATCTGTTGGAGAGGCAGGGGACAGCTGGGTCTCTCCCCGGGACTGAGACACCAGCGGCAAACCATTTTTGCTGTCTCCTTCTGTCATGCTGATCCGCCCTCTAGACTGCTAGTGTCAGGGGGTGCACACTGCTGAGCTCCACATGACCCTGTGCTTCTGTGTGGCCTCGCAGCCAAGGGGGTGATAACCCGGCCCACCAGAGAAATGGACGACAACTGCAGTCCAAGCACTGCCACAACAGGAGGTCACGTGCAGCCCTCACAGGGGGAAAGCCCTGGAGCAACGGTCTATGGAGGCCAAGGGGACTGTGTTTCTGTGCCCCACAGAACAACTACATATAGTCGCTCCTTCAAGACCGGGAGACATAGCGAACTACCTAATACACAGAACCAGAGACAGGCAAAATGAGGAGACAGGAAAATATGTTCCAAACAAAAGAACAACAACAACAACAACAAGAATAAACAAAAAATAAATAAAAATGTAAAAAAAAAAAAAAAGACAAAACTTCAGAGAAAGAACAAAACAGAAATAAGAAATCTA